CGTGGCCTTGTCTGAAGACGGGGGCAGCGCAGCTACCGGCACGAACGCAACCTGGCCAGAATAGCGCGTTACGGGAACGTACCCGGCTCAGCTCCCGGAGCCCAGAATGAGAAAAACTTGGCTGTTTATTAAGTCTTTGTATTTTGTTCTTAAGGGGAAGAAAAAAAAACCAAACCCAAAACTCAGGCAGTGCAAATGTATTTCTTCAAATAGATTCTGATTATCATAATTTTTCATCAAAATACACACATCTGAATTAGGATGAAGTATATTCACAATCGTATTTGCTCTTTCTGTAACTGCTGCCGCCTTAAGCATCTAACAGTGTTTTACAAACAAGCCTCAGAATATTCTTCTTACGTAGGAAAGAATTACCCTAATGCCTCAGCTCTCTGAAGTCCAAAATTTGGTTCTGCTGACACCATCTATTCTTTAGTGATAAAAAAATAAAAGAATTTTAATTTCCCGGTCCTTTATTTTAAACAACATTTTCTATCCCTCTTCTCTATAACCCTAAGGAGAATAAATAACACAAACCAACTTAAATAATAAAAAATCTGATCATAATTTTGGTTTTTTGTATTGTTCATATGCCATCATATTTTCTGAGTGAAAAGTAAGCTATCAACTGTATTTTCTTCATATAGTACTTCAGTTAAAAAACCCGTAAATTCTACAAATTATTTCTGCCTTGATACTTCCTACACAGTCATCCCTATCTTAACACTAAAATTTAGCCAACTGGAAATCTCTCATTTTAAACAAATACCACCCAATAATTTGCCTATATATTCATAATGATACTTGAGCAACTGATGCAACAGATGGATGCAAAGGATGCACTGATTTAACTGAAGCAGATTTTTTTTTTTTTATAGTTCTATAATCCTAAGCACTGAAACCAAAAATGTAATTGTATAACATACATTGAAACTAAAAAACGGTTGGAGAAGACATTCTACATTTTCAAGGTATTTAAGTACATAAAAGTTACTACCAAATCCATAAAAGGGCGCTAGGTGGTATGTTTCAAGGTATACCAGCACCAAGCAGATCTGATGTTTTCCTACAACAGACCCAAAATTCCTCGTTCTGGAGCTCTACTGACAAAGCAGGCTCTGTCTGCATAGTCCTGTCATGCACAGTCTAACTCTACAACTTAGATTCCAAAAAACTTATTTTTTTGGTACTTATTACCAGCTTGCAACTTCGAAAATTCTCCCTTCCTAGCCAGCTCCATCCCACCCCTCCTTACCCTGACCCGCTCTCCACTAGGAACTCCCCGTTGTTCTGTAGAATCAGATGGTGAGGCACCAGACTCCCTACAAGACATATGGATAGTTAAGGTTCTGCCTGTAGAAGGCTATGACTCAAGTAATTTGTGTAGAAACTGAAATTTCATGGGCTGAAACTAGAATTTTCTTTGTACTGGCTTACCTCATTCTCCTTGAATGTGTACTGTATCTTGAGAGTGTCCATGGCTCTGATCATCGCTTGCATTGCAGTAAATATGTTTTGGTAAACCAGTTTTGTGAAGCTTTTCCTGTCCTCTTCTGTGTAACCTGATCCATGAATAATCCTCATTTGTTTAATGAACGTACTCTTGCCACTTTCTCCTGTGCCTGGGGGAGGGGGAAAGAGGAGAGAGACAAAAAGCATTGTATTTGCAAATCCTGGCAGTTGAGAATATTTGTAAATACACGTACAAGGATGTGCACCATATCTGAGCATGCATAAGAGACACCATTAACTGTAGTATCATCTCTGAATTTTCCATTCTCCATAATCTATATTGTTTTAGTCAAAATATTTGTATTTCTGCGTTTGGGAGGGGTTTTTTGGTCAAAGATCTATATATAAGTATCTTATCATAATACGTCCTACAATGTTTAAGCTAAGCATCCTGTAGGTAGAAGTCAGACTACAAAATAAGCATGGTACGTGAGTACAAAAGGAAGAAATTTTGTTTGTGTAAGGATCAAATTCCTCAACACTGAGAAATTTGTACAAAGTTTATGCACCATTTACACCTTAACAATAAAGCCTGCACTAATCCTGAATTTGGGGAAGAATTTTATCATTACACCACATTATGTAGTTTCACATTTCTACCAATTCTTACATAAATACTGATTGAAAACATGCTAAGTGAAATTACGAAAAATGCATTCATTACTGTCAGCTACTCTGGGAATTACTGGTTCTATTCAAAAAAAACCCTAACAAACATATTATAAAGTCATATATGAACTGACATCATTCATGTAATATTTTGCATGTACATATTGCTTTAAGCCCATTTACAGGACATAACAGTGTATTTCCTAACATTTTTCAGGACATAAGCCTTGTTCCTCTGTTCTTTCCTATTAGCCTTACAACAGAAAAATGTCTGCACTGACTCATATCAAGGGTCCATTCAGGCAGTGTCCCGTCTCCAACCAAGTTGTAACTGGTAGCCAAGAGACAAGTAAAAAGAGGGGCCCAGATACATGACACTTCCTCCACAAAACTCTCTCTGCATCTTAAAGGTTAGGATTGAGCATTCAGCTGATGATGTTCTAAGCTACCTATTTGGTAGCCCTACTGTACCACTCAAGTACTTGGGCAGGTCTCTCCTTAAAGCCATGGAAACTTTTTGTGTCCTCAACACATTTTAGTAAGGAGTTTCAGAGCTTTATCACCCGTGATACGTCATTTGTTCTGAGCCTGGATCCATCAGCTTCATTTTGGTTCTCGTATTCAATAAATCTTCCCCCCCGCCTTCTCCACACTCTCTTGATTTTATACACCTCTATCATACTGGGTTTATGTGGCAAGGTTTTGAATCATTACTGCCAAAATATGGAACACAGATTCTACTGACTAGGTCAAGAGACAGAATATTCTCAAAAGGTGAGATGGAAATACATTAGTTAATGTCACATATTTATCCTCCTTCCAGTCACTTCAAGCATTCATTTTTTTCCCTCTGTTTTCAACTACCGACTGCCACGTAGGTAAGTGTTGCCTACCCAAATCCACTTTCTCAATTAAAAGAAATATTGGAATTTTGCCAGTTAATTTAAGGAGTAAAACATTATATCTGTTTTGGCCATTGTCTCTTTTGTCCTCAACTCCTCCTTTGCCTGTCAGCTTTATTTTCCAAGTCTAATATCTCAATTCTTTATGGAGAAAACAAGTTATTAAAACAAACAAACAAACAAACAAACCCAAACCCCCAAATGACACAACTTTATGCTTATTCTCTTAAGGACTTTGTGTGTGCAACTTCATTACATAAATGAGCAGACTGTGAGTACAGCCACAGCAAAACTAGAAGGCTGTAATTGCTAAGGACAGAGCAAAGGTAACTAACTAGTTTTGCTAACCATAGCACCATTAAGAACAACACAACGGCAGCTTTGGCAGAGGTGATAAAGCCTACTGTAAATCCTGGATCCACACTTGAGCAGTTCAAATGACTGAGATCCGGGTTGCTCTTCACCATTATCAGCTCTCAAATGGCAATGATACCTTCATCTACAGTGTAGACCTGTCCATGTGTTCACTTCCACTTGCCTTACATGAACAGATGTAGCTCAGTTAGTAAGCAAATATATTTCATCTGTTGCTGCATGACAACAGGTTTCACTCTTGTCCTGGCAGCTGTGTCTCACTCAACAGCTCTGGTGCTGACAAGGGCCAAGTCACTGGATATCTGTATGAGTAAGCCCCTGGTCCCAGCAGAAGCAAGAGAAGTCCGTTATCACCTTCCCAATTGTCCCTGTTCTCAAGCATGATAAACATGATGAAGTCAAAATGCCATAAGTAAAACAAAAAAGTGAGGTACAGGGTCATAAAAGTAATGTTTGATGCCATCTTTAGACCAGAATCTAGTATTAAACCTCTTCTCCAGTTATGAGTGGCCACTAGAAAAGGTTCACTGACAGAATCTTGTTTATAGCTATAGCTGACTTATCAGCTCTGTAAAACTCAGTAGCCTCAAGCCTCTGCTCTCAAGCCTCTATGACAGGCCATATTTCTGACTCTCTTTAAAGAAAAATAGCTACTTTTATTAAGAAAAATAGCTATTTCATGGGCAGAATTAATTATGAGAAGATACCAACATTTAGTAATTAAATGAGATTTGCTGCTTGCATTAAAAACTAAACTATATTTAAACAGGATCTGCAGTATTTTGTAATTGCAGTTGTTAGGCTTGTTCAACTGGCAGAAGGAAACATCTTTCTGTAACTGCAGGATTAACAGCTTGATACGCAAAACTAAATGGTGCTAGTGTGCAAATGTGGACATAACAAAAATGGCTTTCAAGTAAATAATCCTGACTTACTGAAAATTTATAAGGTTAGAGCAACAAAAATTTATGTTTTTAAAACGAACAGAGGTGGAAAAATTATACAGAATGAAATTCTGTTTATTTCAAGGAGGAGACCCGAAGCAGGAGAAAGGAAATTTTTGAGGTTTATCAGAAAGAAAAATCTTTAGAGTCATTCAGCAATCTTGGAGGATTATTCTGCCCATTCTGTTAACTTCTTTCATGGAGGTACCATATTGAATATTGAAATTAGCTTCACAATGTAATGCACATAGTTACACAAAAACAAAGCCACAACTGTTTCCATTACTACGAGGCAGGGACAAGACAGTGTTTCTAATGACCTGGGGAAAAGCCAAAGCAGATTTCATCTCTACGACTCCTACACAGTTAGTTCTTGTTTTCCAATAGAAATGTAACCCAAAAATAAAATGTGTTTTCACTTCTCTTGTTCATTTACCAATCACCATTCCTAGTATCTGTGCCAGGCAATATTCTGAAGTATTACCTGCACTTTTTACTAACCAACAATAAAAAAAAAAACCTCCATAAACGTATAAAGAAACAAATTTGGCAAGGGGGAGCCAACCAAAAAAACAACCCCCCAAAACCAGCAGCAATTTCAGATTCTCCGTTCATATTCTGTAGGATTCAGAACCATCTTCCAAATCCGTTACCAGGGAAACAGCTCTCATTCATTCTAAAACCCCACGTTAAAAGCACATTCTGGTGACTTTTCCCCTGCTGATGACAGGGAACATGATTAAGAATAAGAGTTTTGCAATTTCAGAAGTTAAATTAACAGAGGGAGAGGCTCCAAACATATTTAATAATCACTATCAAAAGCTCTGTAGATAAAAAAATACACCTTTTTTTAATGATTTATAGGTCCATATGGAGTAGTGCTATGCATATAGCTGAATGTCTGCTTCTGCACTGGAACGACTTATTTGACACCTACATAACTCACTGTTTCAATGTTATTTCTGCTACTAAGTACAACTAAGACAACATATCTGCAAATAAGCCATTCAATTACAGGATTCTTAGAAAAACAAAAAAAGCTTAAATACATACATTTTTAGCAAGGAACAATTATTTAAAGCAGAAGTTCCATAGCTCATTCTGGTCTTTTGTGCTATAAAAGACAGGATCAAGTTAGTCTTGATTCCATTATTCTAAGTCATTCCAAACACCCTGAAGGAAAGCATCAGAGCAAAACCAGCATTGGAACCAAAACTTACCACCTCTGGTCAAATCTTCCAAGGTTTTGCACATGGCATATGAGGCTTTGTAAAACAGTTTACATGCTTAACATGCAAAAGCTACCACCACCCTCAAAAAAAGTGTCTGCTACTGTTGAAAATATTAATACTAGAAGTACAGAAGATGCAGGCACACGTGTGCGTGTGCATGCTATAAAACTGATAGTAGCACCTGGACAGGCTTTAAATAGGAAACAAAAGAACTTTTCAGAACAACTTCCCTCAATGATTCTGTGATTCCTCCTCTCTTGTACTGGGGAGCCCAGAACTGGGAGCACTCCAGGTGTAGTCTCACCAGTGCTGAGGAGAGGGGAATGATCACCTCCCTCCACCTGCTGGCAACACTTCTAATGCAGCCACGGTACAATTAGCCTTTGTTGCTGCAATGGCGCTTTGCTGGCGCGTGTTCAACTTGGTGTTCACGAGGACCCCCAGGTCCTTTCTGCAAAGCTGCCTTCCAGCCAGTCAGCCCACAGTAACTGGTGCCTGCAGTTGTTCCTCCCCAGGTGCAGGACTTTGCACTTCCCTTTGTTTAATTGCATGAGGTTCCTGCCAAGACCATTTCTCCAGCCTGTTGAGGTCCTGGGAATCTGGATGGCAACATGACCCTCTGGTTTATCAGCCACTCCTCCCAGTTTGGTGTCATCAGCAACCTTGCTGAGGGTGCACTCTGCCCCATCATCCAGATCATTAATGAAGATGCTAAACAGGATTGGACCCAGTATTGACCCCTGGGGTACACCACTAGTTACTGGCCTCCAACTAGACTTTGTGCCACGGATCACCACCCTCTGGGCCTGGCCATTCAGTCAGTTTTCAATCCACCTCACTGCCTGCTCATCCAGTCCATACTTTATCAGCTTCTCTGTGAGGATCTTATGGCAGACAGTGTCAAAAACCTTACGGAGGTCTATGTAGACAATACCCACTGCTCACCCTTCATCTACGAAGCCAGTCATTTCATCGTAGAAGGTTATCACGTTGGTCGAGCCTGACTTCCC